AGCTGAGAGAATAAAAGACATGGGGGGGTGGGAGGGTTGCTCCTAGCTTTCCATTTCTTCATCCTCTTAGCTGATTGGCTCATTAGGGGAGCATGCATGCGCATGCTCACGCGATCACGCACCGAACCGGTACCGACTAAAGTAGGATCCCACTACTGCTTCAGGGTCTATGTTTGGCCTTCCATCTGGGTGATATTGTTGCTGGAAATAATCGCCTAAATAGTCAGACTCTCCATGGAAGGTCTTATAGTCTTTCAACCTCTTTCTTTAGACATGGGCACCCAACATAACATCTCTGGTTGTCTAAAGCTCCTTCCTTGATTATCATCACCAGGCTCCACGCCCACCACTGATCCTTTTTAAGTCTACCTCCCCACCCTTAAAGAAGTTAAAATGTGTCCATTATTTGATTATCCTGAAGCACACTTGCTGGTAGATGAAATAAGAGCAAACACATATAAGAATATTCCCCATGTTACATATCTTTAAATAAGCTATGTGAAGATGAGGTAATTCAAAATAGGTTCATTAAAACTGTATGTCTTAAAAATTCAGTGGGATTTTTGTCAATTGGTTAAAAGTGACCTAAAATTAAACTAATAGGATCGGGAGTTTAATTTATAACAGTATGAAAAAATGTGTTCTATACAGGAGATTAGATACGGACAGCCTGACTGCCCAGTGTTACATGTGGCCCCCAAATGTATTCTTGTGGGTCCTGGAATTGTTGGCAGGATATTGTTTCATGTTTGTTTTAATCATTGTTATGAATCAGATTTTAGAAATTTACCAAACAACCCATTTTAATTTTTCCTCTATTTTTGGCCCACATATTCCATGCCTGTACTTCAAAACTCTTTCTTATTTCCAAGCCTTGCAGCACTTCTACTCATGAAGCTAAATAGCTTTATTTAAAAAAATACAAAATATTTTCATATTTTTAATTTGTTGAAAATCTTGATTTTGATAAGCGTATCCGGTTTGTCTAATCTCCCGCATCAGAATAGGACCACAACTATTATTTGAACGCAAAAACAAAAATAGATCAGGCCTGCTTTTTCTCATCCCTCTTCCGGTACAAGATTTCATCCCTGGGTATATTTTGAATTACAAAATTTAATTCATAGTTGAATTACGCTGTCTTCAGTCTGATCTAAGTATGGTATATAAAATCATACATTGCAATGACTTACCTGTCAATGAATATTTCAGCTTCAACCATAACAACACAAGAGCACACAATAGATGCAAACTCAAGGTTAACCGCACCAAACTTGATTGCAGGAAATACGACTTCAGCAACAGAGTGGTCAATGTCTGGAATACTCTACCTGACTCTGTGATTTCTTCCCCAAACCCCAAAAACTTTAACCTTAGACTTTCTACTATTGACCTCACCCCTTTTCCTAAGAGGTCTGTTGGGGGCGTGCATAAGCGCACCAACATGCCTACCGTCCCTGTCCTATTGTTTCTTTTATTTTTCTTATATGTACCCATTTCATGTATTCATAACTATGTATATACTTATACCTATTATCTTGTAAGCGATTGACAAATAAAAATAAATAAATAAAATAAAATTTTCTTCAAGCAATTTGGAAAAAAAATGTCTTTTTCTATGATGTGGCATTTTGGCTGGACTGTTTTACTTCCTAACAGGCTCACCCCCAGCAGTACATTGAAATCAATGGTGGGATTCAAAAAATTTTTACTACAGGTTCTGTGGGTGTGGCTTGGTGGGCGTGACAGGGGAAGGATACTATAAAATCTCCAGTCAGAGGAGGTATTTGCTGGTTCTCTGAACTACTCCAAATTTCCACTACCGGTTCTCCAGAACTGGTCAGAACCTGCTGAATGATTGAAACGCTTTGCAGAAGACAAAACACCCCTTCAGTGTAACCAAAAGTTATACTCATCTATTCTAAGTTCACCTACCTGGTACCCCTGACAAATATTGCAGTGATTTAAAAAGCCACACAACACATAAAAGGTTGCTGGTTCAAAACCTGGAAGGCCTTTATTTTAATTATTACTTTCTTTCCACTAGTTTTTCCTAGCAGCTTGAAGGCCTGAAAAAAATATATATAAGTGCAAGATCCCACCATTTCATTGTTTTGCCAGAAAATTGAGGCAAAACAATTTCACACAGTGTGAACCCCTTTTACCTTAAGAAACTGGAAAAACAGTGAATGGTAATCTGCACTTACTTTAAAAAAGAAAAAAAAAGTCCAAAGGCTTTCAGCTACCTGGGGAAATCAAGCTAGTCGAGGAATAGAAAATAATAATTTAAAGAAAAGTTTTCAAACCACCAACTTCTTACGTCTTATGCAAATCTTCTACCTGGTGTGGTGTTTTAGTGCTAAGGTTAAGCAAAAGTCTAGAAGTTATTAATGTACAAAACATCTAATAAGAAAGGATTTTTAAAATAAAGGCAGTGTTGTCTCTGCATGTATGTGCTGTATGTTCTGATGCTTTAACCTTCCAACAGAAAAGTTATTTTCTTGCATATAACTCAGCATTGCACTGTGGAGTCCTTGATGCTCTCTGAGCTTGGTTGTCTGCTTGCGGATGTTTCATTACCCAACTAGGTAACAGTGAGTGTGGGGTTTGCTCCCTATTTATTTACAGTAGCTTGCCTTAATAATATCAGTGGGGGTATGATTTTCTTCTTGATTGTTCATTGATAAGGGTATTGTTTTCTGCTTCATTGTCTGGTGTTAATCCCTGCTTGTTTATTTATTTATTTATTTTTATTTTATTTTATTTTATTTATTTATTTATTTGATTTGCCAATTGTTTACAAGATAATAAGTATAAGTGTATACATAGTTGTGAATACATGAAATGGGTACATATAAGAAAAATAAAAGAAGAATAAGAGAAACAATAGGACAGGGACGGTAGGCACGTTGGTGCGCTTATGCACGCCCCCTACAGACCTCTTAGGAAAGGGGTGAGGTCAATAGTAGACAGTCTAAGGTTAAAGTTTTTGGGGTTTGGGGAAGAAACTACAGAGTCGGGTAGAGTATTCCAGACATTGACCGTATTGACTGCTGGAGAGGATGTATTCCACTCTTTTTCTTTCCCTCTTAGTTTTTTTTTTTCTTATCGTTTTTGAGTGGGTGTAAATGTGATTAATCTCTATGTGTCTGTTGATGGCTTATTTGTCCTAAATACCATTTAATAGCATTTTTGGATTTATCTTGGTCTAGGATTTTCACAGCTTCCCCATTGAAACTATAGTTGAATCTGTCCATGTGTTGTGAGATTATGGACGTTTTGATGTATCTTATGGTAGCTAGTTGATGTTCATGGTTGCACTTTATTAGTCTTCTGCTTGCCTGCCTACATAGTGGCTCTTACAGTTCTTGCACTTTACAGATAGTCCTCAACCTATGACCAATCACTTAACGATCATTTGAAATTACAACAGATTTCCCCAGAGTTACTTATGACCTATTTTCAAAGTTATGACAGCTGCATATTCTCCCATGGTTGCATGATTGCATTCTGTGTGCTTGAGAAGTGCCTCACTTTTATAGTCATTTGCAGCATCCCATAGTCACATGATCATGATAGATAGATAGATAGATAGATAGATAGATAGATAGATAGATAGAT